TCTCCATGTAGACATTGAGCCATTGACCACATCTGCCTGATTACATAATTAACATGCATGTTAGTTTTTTAATGTGAAATAAATTGCTTAGATTTTTTAAAAATCCTTTTAGATACGATGAGGTAGTTTAAATCATGAAGAAACACTGAAATCCTAAAAATAATAGGCATTCCTTCAAAAATTTTCTAGAACACTCAACTGGGTTAATATAATGCACAAACTCATAGATGTTTAGTGTCCTATTCCTAGATTTTTGATCAGTATGTGTATCTGCTACCTAGGTAATAGTGCTTGGATTCAAGAATCTAATAAATTCATTAGCAGTGTGGTATTTTTAGCAGCATTGTTTCCCATATGTCATACTCATTCCACCTCTTTTTTTAATGACTTATTGTACTTGCAATGTAAAACCTTTCAAGAAAAAACAAAGATCAAATCAAGTATCCCCATAAACATACACACACAAATGCATTTTAGTGCTGAGCAAATCAGTACTGTACTTCCACATGATCTTTTACTGTGGAATTGGGATCAAATTGTGCTTTGCTTTTTCTCGTGTACATAAATCAACACTGAAAACTACTGTGTATTGGTTGGAGGCACTTTTGGAAATGGCTTCTGAAGAAGCTGCTGCTAGTGTGATGAACTACTATGCTTCTGGTAGACCTTACCTCCACCATCAGCCTATTTATATTAAGTATTCCAATCACAAAGAACTCGAGACTGACAACTTACCTAATCAGGCTGTAAGTATAGCATTCCCAATTTAAGAAGATAGAATTGCATGAGTTGTGTATTGATCTTGACTAGGAGTCAATTTTCTTCATAGTAGCTTGTGATGCGTATATAGAGTCAAGGCCTTTTCTGCTTCTCACACTGCTCTGACAGTGTGACTGCACAAGAAGTTGGGAGGGGACACAGCTGGGACGGGTAACGCCAACTGAGCAAAGGGATGCCCCACACCATAGGATGTTGTGTTCAGCAATAAAAGCTAGGGGGAGAAGAAGGAATGTGGAGCGTTCAGAGTTATGGCGTTCTTCTTCCCAAGTAACTGTTACATGTGATGAAGCTCTGCTTTCTTGGAGATGGCTAAACACCTGCCTGCTGATGGAAGGTACTAAAGGAATTCTTTATTTTGCCTTGCTTGCACGTGCAACTTCTGCTTTATTTGCTTTACCTACTAAATTGTCTGTATCTCAGCCCATGAGTTTTGTCACTTACTCTTCAGGTTCTTTCCCTCAACCCTCTTCAGACAGGGACTTCTCAATATCTGTAAAATTACTGTGGAGGAGCTCGAGCTCAAGAATGGCTCATCCTGATGAGCAGGAAATTAAGTGAAGGTGGCGGGAGAACAGTTTGGATGAATGACTGGCTGAACTCACCCATAAAAAAGAGGCATAAGAAAAAATAGAATCATACCCAAGTGACCTAGGAGTAATATAGAGCATTATCTGAACATGCAGGGATGTGGTTAGGAGAGTAAAAGACCACATGGAGTTCACTCTGGTGAGGTGTGTGAACAGCAAGAATGGCTCCTTAAAGTGTGCCAGCAGCAAAAGGAAGATTTAGGGATTATGTGGGCCTGCTGCTGAGTGGACCAGAGGCCCTGATGACAAAGAACATGGAAAAGGCTTGTCTTTATTTGTTAAGGCTTGCCCTTGGGAAAACAAAGCAACTGAGAACAGTGGGAATGTCTTGATGAAGGAACTAGAGAAGAATCTCACTAAGGAACATTTAAAAAAACTGGATAAACAAAAGTCTGTGGCCCCAGTGAGGTGTGCTTGTGAGTGCTGCGGGACCTGGCTGATGTCATTGCAAGAACACTCTTAAAATCTTGGAAGGATCATGGCAATTGGAGGAGGTTCCTGTGGACTAGAAGAAAGCAAATCTCTCTTCTATCTTAAAGGAGGACAGGAATGAGGATCTAGGGAACCACTGGCTGATCATACTTGCCTCAGTCTCTGGGAAGGTAATGGAGCAAATAATCCTGGCAACCATGTCCAAACATTCTAAGGGCAAGAAGGTGCTTGGGAAAAGTCAGCATAGTTTTTTGAAAAGGAAGTAATGGCCTTCTACAGAGAGATGACTGGTGTGGCAGATGAGAGGAGAACAGTGAATGGTGTTTGTCTTGACTTTGGTAAGACTTTCAGCATGGTTTCCCATAACATCACAATAGACAAACTGATTAAATACAGTCTAGAGAGTAGACTGTGAAGGGATCTGAAAGGCTAAAATGGTTGTGACCAGTGGCATGAAGTCCAGTTAGAGGCCAGTCACTAGTGGAGTATCCTAGGGGTTGATACTATGTCCAGTAATTTTTAACATCTTCATTAATGTACTGCATGATGGGATGGGAAACATCCTCAGCAAGTTTGCTGACAACACATAACTAGAAGTAGTTGACATCGCAGATGGTTGTTCTGCCATTCAAAGAGGCCTTGAAAAGCTGAGGGGATGACAGGGGGAACCTTATTATATTCACTAAAGAGAAATGCTGACACCTGCACCTCAGGAGAAGTAACCACAGGTACTGTTGTACGCTGGGGCCAACCAGCTGGAAAAGCAGCTTGGCAGGACATGGGTTTCCTGGTGGACAGCACACATGCCCGTGCAGCAAAGAAAGCCAGCAGCCTCCTAGGCTGCAGAAGGCCAAGTGTTGCTGGCAGATTGCAGATGACCTTCCCTCAACTCAACACTCATGAGAAGCATCTGGAATACTTTGTCCAGTCCTGGGCTCCTCAGTACAGGATAGACATGGACATAGTGGAGCAAATGCAGCAGAAGGCCATGAAAATGGTTAAGGAACTGGAGCGTCTGTCATATAATGGGATCCAGAGAAAGCTGGAATTCTCCAGCCTGTAGAAGGCTTGGGGGTATCTTACCAACGTCTGCAAGTATGTGGTGAGGAAGAAGTAAAGAAGGTGGAGACAGACTCTTCTCAGTGGTGCCAATGACACAACAAGAGACAATGGACATAAATTAAAATACATGAAAATCCACTTAAACTTAAGAAAAAACTTCTTTACTGTGAGAGTGGTCAAACATTGGAATGTTTTTTTTCTGAGAGGTTGTGGAGTCTCCATCCTCTCATACATTAAACACCTGACTGGAAACAGGTGGGTTCAATATTGGCTTTGTATATATTTGCATATATTTCATTATTTTCATCTTTTACTTATTACTACTGTTTCTATAATTTTCTTTTAGGCTTTGGTTCAGAGTTAAGTGCCATAATGCTGCTTTACTTGCCAAACATGTTGTACTATTGTTTGCTCGGTTTTAGTGTTTATTTGCAGTTTGTCCTTTCTGGGTGCTGGGTGAAAGCTGCTGCTGTGCTGTGGTGTTCACTGCTGATCTATGCTGTGATAAATTCGGTAATAAGTATTAGGACTATTATTGTTTTAATAAAGCCGTTCCAATTTTCTTTGCCAATCTGTAAGCCTCTCTGACTTATTCCCTTTCCCTCCCACTTTGGAGAGGGATTACTGGAGAGCATCTGTCACTGGTTTAGTGGCTGGCCCAGCCCTAACCCTTGACAACTACTTAGAAATACTTGCTTACAATATGTTTTTAAAGGACTTTTGCCATTCCTAATTTTTAACAGCTTTCAATAGCTTCCTAAGATGAAGAAAATAAGTCTTCTCTGATAAATCTTTTCTCTGAATAGTTAGTCCTGGTGTTTCTTCCCGTTACTGTGTCCATAAAATACTAGCAGGAATACCACAAAAAAATACCACTTCAATTTTATATGTTTGTGTTTCGTAAAGTTAATTTCTAGTCCTAGGTCTGGTGATGTTTTCTGAAGAACACATAGAAGAGCAAACCCAGCTGATACGTTATGAACCACTTTCAGCCTAAAAAGCAGCTCTTCTGAAGCTTTTCACTTGATCAGATATGGATATTATTCTGAAGGGTTGTGTACCATACTTCAGTGAGACTTCTCTTCTTGGCACCATTCCAAGGCCTTGTGAAGCTAAGGAATAGCAAATCATCATGTTTAAGTTGTTCAGGTTTATTCTTAATAATGTTTTGAGAGGTTTTTTTTAGTGTTGAGTGTTTATTCTGCGAAGAAGCCTAGATCCAGTAAAATGGATATTTTCATTGATAAAGCATCAGTTTATATGTAACATCATGCCAAACACCAAAATTAAATCATTGTTTGTACTTTTGAAGTACTAATGATGGATTTCTTAAGAATATTAATTGAACATAGCAGATGACTAATTTAAAGCCTAGTCTCTAAACAAGGAAATACTTTTTGCAAATGTACAAACTATCAAATGTACAAACTATCATATTGTAGTTGAAATCCAGTTGGATTTTTGGACAGATAGATGAATTGCAATTGATATGCCATTTAGATAAATTGGTTATAAAATATTATGTGTGTATCATGATTTTGTTTTCTACAAGAATGTTGCAAATGAGGAAAAAAACCTGTTCATTTTTAATTCTTATTGACAAAAAAGTCACTGAAATCTTGCAGGCTTGTCAACTGGATAAAAGTTATTTGTCTCTTGCCTCATCCAAGACTGTTGGATTGGTTTGTGATCTGCAAAAATAAATAAGTAACAAGAGGGGTTTTTTTAAAGAGGGTTTTTTTTAAAGATGTGGTGTATGTAGAAGCATCAGGAAAACTATACTCATATTTGCAAGTAAGGCTCCTTGTATCTGTTTCTCAGTGTTTTCAACTCAATGCATGACATTTGCTTTCTCCTGAAATATATCTCTGTCTGGCTGTCTATCTATTTATTTGCACTTACGACTCTTACATTTGAGTTTTACTTAAATCTTAGAGACCCTAGGAAAGCAGCTGAACAGTAACTTGCTGTCCTAGCATCTAGGATCAAGCCTGAACTACAGATGATTTAGCAGGGTTACATGTTTCTGAAACGGGGTAACATCTGTGCTTTGTGCCATGCTTCGTCCATCTTCCAAGGAAAGAGCGTTACTGGTGTATGACATGACACTACCTTTGGAAAGTAACAGCTCTCCGTAGTGCTCTCAGAGGTAGTTTGAAAACCTTTTTGAGGAAAGCCCATCAAAAACAAGCATAGAGACTACCAGAGTCCCAGTGACGCACTCTGAGGAGTGAGATTTAAAGGTGTTTTCTGTGGTTAATAGCTTGGCTCAGGAAAAAAAAAAAATGCAGGGTGTGCACCCTTAAGCTTATCCACAGCAAAACTTGGTTTTCACCTTTGAAGAGAATGAAATCCTAATAAAGCAGAGGAAATTGGTTTTGGTACATTGACTCATTATTGGTCTATTACAATATTGTCATAATACTGATTTGCTGGAAAGTCTCTAGAATGACAAGAGCTTACTGAATCAAAGCATGATGTGTCTGTGTGGCATTACAAAACAATAACAGTTTAATAAAGTCACAACTCTGTGAAATTATGATGTGACTTCTTTTAGGGGAGGGGTAAGAGAAAGAACAGGTATGATTTACCTATGAAGGTGAGATTTCAATTGGTAATCAGTTAAAGAGAATATGCTTTTAAAAGTTGCATTTCAAATGCATTTTACATGTTTTTCTGTGTAAAATTACTTTATTTAGATATGAATAATTTGGATGTATATAAGTTAATTGGTGTCTCTGCTGTTTCTTGATTTCAGAGTGACCAAGCTGAGTTGCAAGCTCTGAATATTATGTCATCTGGAAGACAGGCTGTTAGACGTGTTCGTGTTCCCGAAACTGGGCTCCCTCCAGGTCAAGCTTGTGTTCTTCGGATCATTATTGACAATCTTACGTACCCTATCACTTTAGAAGCACTATATCAGGTAACGAGGATTGCTTAAAAAAATGTAATAAGTTAAACCTTCCAATGTTACTACTGTAAATCCACTAACTTTTTTTTTTTCTTCATAAAGTACCTGTGGATCCTTATTCAGTCAAATGAGGATGGTCACTTTAAAATGATTTGTTGCAATTTAGGGAGCTAGGCTTAAATTATTTCTGAAAAAAATCAAAGTAAACAGAGCTTCTGTACTCAGCTTTTCATGTTGTCTTTCATTTCTTTTAGTTTTTTGGTTTCTGTGGAAGCAGCAACAAACCTGGGGGGTTGTTTCTAATTTATGGCCACATGAAATATTGATTGTTATGAACTTGTAGATGAATATTTTAGTACTCTTTGTACCAAATAACTTATGTAGTTTGAATTGTGTTTTAGGATTTTATATTGGCTTTTATAATTTGTTGCAAGCAATGTAATACACAATACACAAATATTTTTGGTTGTTCATCAACTCTCAAAATGTCATTCCCTTTAACTGCCTCTGAAAGCTTGGAGTATTCGTGGGCTATAGCTGTGAAAACTGTTACTGTAACTTCTGCTAGGGACTATTGTTCATTCACTACTTAGCTTGTGTAAATACTGCAAGTCTTTCAGATTGTTTGTGCCTTTGGAGTAACCTGAGAACATACTTTTGTGGCTATGGCTACTTTAACAGTGCAACAGCAATTCCTGGATCTAATCTTGTGTGGGGTTTGTTTGTTTGGTTTGGTTTTTTTTACTAAGCAGGCAGTAGAAGAGGATATTCATGTTAATTTAATTTGATTGGTATTTGCTTCAGTGCAGCAGAACTCTATTTTCAGTCTCTGAACTTTATATGACGTGTTAAATGCAAGTTTTTAGTGTGCATGAATTATTCATTGTTTCTAAAACTCCATTTTTTTTTCCTTCTCAGATTTTTTCTAAATTTGGAGATGTTTTGAGGATTATCACCTTCTGTAGGAACAATTACTTCCAAGCTTTGATCCAGTATTCTGATCCAATGCATGCATATTATGCCAAAATGGTAAGTACAGTGTATTCAGCTAGAATTTTTTTGATGTTTTTGTTTGATTTTTGCCCCCTCCAGGTAAATGGGGAACATGGATAACTTGATTATTAGCTTTATGACTTCTCATTATTCTAACAGTCTTGTTGCAGCTGAATAATTTTGATATCTCTCATTAGTTAAGAGGATAGCATTCTATCATCAACTGCAGATGTAGGTGTATAGCATGCACCCCAAGACCTGTATGAGTCTACCAAAACAAAAATCAGAGCAATTGAGTGATGGCAACCGTAGTTGACCAAAAAGTCCTTTGCCTTTCAAACTAAATGGGATATTTTCTGTGAGGTTAAATACTAAGATTAGTGTAGTTAAATGCCCAAAGATTAGATAAATGTTAGATGTTTTACTTGTTTGCATTTCAGTGATAAATTTACAGTAACTAATGTTTTCACCTTAAGCTTCTTAATTTCAAGCAAGCTGTACCTTAAGTTTTAAAATGCTCCTTCTCATTAATGAAGAAAAGCTCACCTACTTTAAGTGTAATTTTCTGTGGTGTATTAACCTTGGCTGGCTTCAAGAAACCCATCAAGCTGCTCTCACTCCCCTTCCGCAGTTAGACAGGGTGGGGAAAGTGAGACAAAAAAGCTTGTGGCTTGAGGTAAGGACAGGGAAATTGCTCATCGATTACCATTGCAGGTAGAACAGACTTGACTTACGAAATACTGTTTTTACTTGGCAATAAATCAGAGTAGGATAGTAAGGAACAAAAAGAAAAGTAAAAACACCTTCCCCACACTGTTATTCCTTCTTCCTAGGCTCTACATCGCTCCCAACCCTTCTACCTCCTCCCCACCAGCAGTGCAGAGAGGCAGGGAATGGGCGTTATGGTCAGTCCGTAACGCTGTCTCTGATTCTGCTTCCTCTGCCCACTGTTCCCCTGCTCCAGAATGGGTCCTCCCCATGGGATACAATCCTTCACAAACTAATCCAGCCTGGGTCCTTCGCACAGGCTGCAGTGTGGATATCCACTCCTCTGTGTCCCTTGTGGGCTGCAGTGGGACAGCTTGCCTCACCATGGTCTTCTTCAGGGGAATCTCTGCTCCAGAACTTGGGCCACCTCCTCCTCCCCCTCCTTCTCTGACCTTTGTATCTGCAGGGTTTTTTCACATTTTTCTCACTCCTTATTCTCTCAGCTGCTGCACAGTGCTTTTTACCCTTTCTTAAGCATGTTATTACAGAGCTGCCACCAGTATTCTGATTGGCTATGCTTTGGGCAGCAGCAAATCTGTTTTAGAGCTGGCTAGATCTCACTCCATCCAGCATTAGGCAGACCATGTTCTCTTTCCACAGAGGGGTACCAGCCCCCCAACAATCGAAACCTTCCCATGTAAACCCAATACGTTTGGTTTTTTTCAAAACAGCTTTTAGAATTGGTTTCCTTATCATAGGAAATATTTTAATTTTTAGGATATATTGTTAATTTCCTCAGTGGGGAGTAGTTTAAAATTTCCTCAGTGGGGAGCAGTTTAATAATTAAATATTGAGAGCTGAGACCTCAAATATTTTTCCAGAAGAGAGAGCAGTGTTGCAAATCGTTAGGCTATAATTCTTGAACTGTGAAGTAAAAAAATAAAGACAGAAAATAAAATAATTCAAATTATGCCTGAGACACTTTGTGTTTCTCCTTAACCTATGTGTTCACCTCTATGTTAGTAAATAAATAAAATTAAGTTAAAAGTTCTCACAGAAAAATAGATTCTGCTAAGTATTAAATGGTATTTAGCATTCAGTTTTTTCAAAAAATTATTGAAACACTAGAGCGAATGGGGCTTTTACCTTACTTTTGCTATTGAGGTTGACTTCATCCTCAGCTTCAAAGTTAAAGGCCCAGAATATTTATGTATTGCTGCCTGCACTTCAGTAAGGTAATTCACTATGCATTTTAGAAATTAAGTATAAATTGGAAAATATTAAAGGTAGTTGGTTTTATAGCCTGTTTGTTAGCAATAGCATCTTTTCTTAAAGAAAAGCATTATTATTAAGTTACACCTTTTTAATGATTTCACAGCAGTTATAATTTCAGTCTAGATTATACTGAATACTTATAACAAACGAATATCTTTTCAATGTCTTTTCTTCTGTTCATCCATCTTGATTCTTCTGTGACTTGCATAGGAACAAAATACTACTTCAGTGATCTTTCTGAGCATATCTGCTCTTAAAAAGATGGATTTTATAAAATTGTTTAGGTTGGAAAAGACCCTTAAGATCATCAAGCCTAACCATTAACCTAGCAATGCCAGGTCCACCACTAAACCATGTCCCTAAGCATCCCTTAGGTACCTCCAGGGATGGTGGTTCCACCACTTTCCTGGGCAGCCTGTTCCAGTGCTTGATAACCCTTTCAGTGAAGAAGTTTCTCCTAATACCTAATCTAAACCTCCCCTGGCCCAACTGGAGGCCATTTCCTTTTGTCCTATTGCTTGTTTACCTGGGAGCAGAGACCAACTCCCACCTGGCTACAACCTCCTTTCAGGTAGGTGGAGAGAGCAGTAAGGTCTCCCCTAAGCCTTCTTTTCGTCAGACTGAACAACCCCAGTTCCCTCAGCTGCTCCTCACAAGACTTGTTCTCAAGCCCCTTCCCGAGCTTTTTGTAAGGGGACAGTTCCACACAATAAAACTCTCAAAATTAGTATCACTATTAGCATCTGTTATTGAGTATTGAGTGTGAGAAAAGTAAGACCAGAAGCACAGCTGGAATGACAAGTCATGCTTAGAGGTATGTTTTGTCAAAATGTGGGGTTTTTTTTCCTTCAGTGTCTGCATGGTCGAAGTGTCTACAGTGGGTGCTGCACTCTGTATGTCGACTTCTCCAAGTTGGTTAGTCTTAAGATAAGGTACAACAACAGCAAAAGTAGAGATTTTACTCGTAATGACCTTCCTTCTGGTGATGACATGGAGCCACTCATGGCTGCTGCCTCTGGTAAGAAACCTTCACTTTTAGTGTTAAATACACAATTAGATCATTATGCTTTTTATATTGCATTTATGCTCTGGCTTTGGATCAGGTTCATAGAAGCATACATTTTTCATCCATTTCTGTTGGTTAGGTCCAGTATAGTTTGTATGGATAGCAGAAGGTCCTACTCAAGATAAATCAATATCTGAAACTATGTTATAAGGAATACTTTGGGACAAATTAATATTTTTGTCAAAAAACTACATTTGTAAAATGCTGCAAAATTATATAATTGGTACAGTTAGTATAATAAATGTTGCATAACAGGACAGTCAATTGCAGTCATCCAAAATTGACCCTGGTTGCCTAAACTTGCTTGAAAATAAGTGGTTTAAGCATGTTAGCTCGTATTTGCTGATACTTTAGTGTAACTGTCTGGTGTAACAAAAAAGAAACAAAACTAAACACATAAGAAACTTAGAAATACTGCACTTATTTATGCATGTTTTATAGTCGCCCTCTAAAAGATAAAATTTGGGAATTTTTCCTGAAATTTTGGAAATCACGTCCATGGCATAGAGGAGACAATGTCTGCTTGAATCCACACTGGAAAAGTCTCTGTTGGCATAAATATCTTAGACATGCTCATTTAATCAACTTTGGTAGTAATGCAAGTCACCAAACAGATTAATTTTATCACCTGGCAGAAGTGCTCACAATGTAATTTGAGTGATTTTTAGCTATTTTTATTTCTTTCTAAAGACAATCATTAGCAATAACACACAGCTAACATCTGTCTTAGCTTTTGTTTAGGTATCTTAGTGCCATCAGTTAGGGTTGGAACAGTAGCAAGGATTAAGGAAGAATAACCTTTTTTCCTTTAGTTTTCTATGGTATCTAGGGCAAATATTGTGTTTGAGGGGTTTTTTGGTTGGTTTTTTTTTTTGGATGAACTGGCTGTGGTAGTTTAGAGTAAGAAGGTGAGTTGCACTCACTATTTTTTCTTTATTTTTTTCTTTTTTTTTTTTTGCTGGTCTTCTTAAAGGCTGGCCTTGGATCTTTATGTAATGTACAACCATCTTTATAACTTGTTTGAGGATTTCCCATACGACATCATGGAAACATGCTGTTATAGATCCGATATATGCTGTTTAGTTAGACTCACACAATTTGAAATGTCAATGAAAGAGGGAAGTACAATTAGAGTAATTACGGACAAACTTGCTTGTAGGGCAGAGAAAAAATTGTATGCATGCTTTTGGAGGATAGCACATGAACACCTCTCCACTTCCTTCCACCTCATTCTTTCAAGCTTGTCATGACCAGCAATCTTCCTTTCAGTCTGAACATTTGCTGTAAGAACAGGAGAGGTGCTGGTGTAAAGAAGAGTCTGATGTGTGTGTCAAATTTTGTTTCTAGTGTAGTCACAATGAAGCAGCTGCATAATTGGGTTTTTTTAGTTTTGGGTTGGTTTTGAGTTTTTAATAACTATAGACTGGGAGAGCCATGCTTCTAGCCTTTCTAGCCTGTGGTAGAATGCATGCATATGTTGCTCTAGGTTGTCACTTTCATGACATGAGGAAATGATGGGAGTCATGGCAGCATTTACTCTTCCTGTGTTCTTACTAGTGAACAGAGTTTTGATGGAGAATTATAAGATAAAGCAGGTGACTATCAGAATAATGCATATTTTTTTTCTCTAGACTTGAAGTTACCATAAAAACAAAACTGAACAGCTCTTGAAACTGTTTGGTCTTGGTTTTTTTTTTCTGGTGGAAAAGCTACTGCACTATAAACAAGTGGATCTTGTGAATGTTTGGCATTTAAAGAGTTCCCTCATTCTGTGACCATAAGAAGGGATACGTGAATTACCTTCCTTTGAAAGATAGCTGATCGCCCTGAAACAAATTATTTTACACATAAAAAAATGCAACAAAGAATTCCCAACCTTTCTGCATTAGCTCTGTCTGACAATTTCTACATGCCTGCTTTTGGTATCAGTGTGCAACATGCAGATCTTATTTTGCAGAATAAAAGTGCTTTATCTATTCATCAATGTTTCCATTTCCATTCTTAGATTGTGAATAAATGATTGATACCTATATTGGTGGGCTTGCAGGATGTATTTGCTGACTATACATGCTCTATTTAAAGAAATCTAGCGTGCTAATGGGAAAGAATCCACAGCTCAAGTTTGTATCTAACTACCTCTTAGAACACAAGTTTGTATGCTTCCTTAGGTAGCACTTAACTCCACATGATAATGTGAAAATCACTGAGCTATCTTCAGGGCTGGGACTCTCCATATATTGATATTCCAAATCTGTTTAATGCTTGTGATTGCCAGAAGAACTGTTAAAAACACCAATTATTTATGGAATAACATAAGATGGGAAAGCACATCTCCTTAAAAAGTAAAATATGTATCTCAATGGCTAGTAAAATTCAGAACCTCAGATTCATTGTAGTTGTTGGCATTATTTAGCACTTACTGGTTTTAGAAACATCTAGAAGTAGTTGTATCCCATCACTGAAAAATGTTTTTGAGTGTATTTACTTCCAGAAAATTTCTAGTATGCATTTCCATTGTGTGAATTAAAATTTTGCACGACAGGTGTATTAACTTTAATGGATAGTAATCTATGCTGTGCTTTCCTATTCAAAGTTGTCTGAAATACATTTTGCCCATTTTAGGGAGGGACGTTGAGGCTGATCAGAATATTTGCCTTCAACAGTGGCTGAAGATTGTCAAACATAAAATCTTGGATCTCAATGAGAGTCTTTAACCCAAATATTTTATAGAAGATATCACGGACTGAAGTCAGAATAGCAACACTGGAAGCTGATTCTCATTGCTAAAGTCCCTTTCTAAAAATTTTACCATCTGTTTTAATTACATGTGTCTGCTTTCTCTAGGCACCCAAAATGTCATCATCCCAGCATATGCAGGGGCTGCTGGTTTTTTGCCACCTATGGGCTTTTCTCAAGGTGTTGGTAAGTTTCTGTTTTCTAAAAATGTGTTTGCATTTGGGGCTAGTGTTCTATCTGAATACACCTGCGTTGAGAGCAAACTGTCTTCAAATGTAGCTTCAAATATGTCTTTTTGAATCATTCGGATTCTCATATTTTTCACTAAAATTACTTTCTGTGATAAAAAATGTATGTTGATGTAGCTTGTCATTTAGTAAGTAAAAAAATTAAATGCCATGATAAAGATTACCTGCAGGAGAAGGAACTAAACATCTGTTTTTCTAAGAATTGTAAGAATTCAGTGCATTCAAAGCTAAAGCAGGAAGTCTCCCCTCTCTTAGCTGTAAAATGAGAAATAGTCTTCTAGACTCAGTGATCTTTTCCTTTATAGCACAGGATAAACCTCAGTGCAAAATTATTTTTCTTCCTTCTTGGGCTACAATTTATGCCTCTCTTTGTATGGGTGTGTTGGTGTAGCTGAATATTTCATCTCTGGAGGTGAAGGTCTTTCTGCTGTATTGGTTAGATACTAGGAATAACTAAATTCCTTAAAAGCATGTTTTTAATTGAATTTTGATGGTTTTGCCAAATGCAACCTGCTTTTATCTTCTAAAATGTCTTTTTCACTTTGAGATGCCAAGTGATTCTTCTAACACCCTTCCGGGTCATTGGGTTTCAGCTGCTCCTGGAGCCTGTGGTTCTGTTGCAGTTATGTCTTCACCATACGGAGAAATGCATATTCCTGATGTTACTGATGCTCCAGGAAGTCCTGTTTTACTCGTCAGGAACCTCAACCCTGAAGTAAGTTTGATTGGTGGCACTGATGTATCAACTTGTACCAACTGCAAGAATCCTTGCAAACTGACATTAGCTGAAGAAATGAGAGGAAACTTCTATGCGGATAATATAAAAACTAGGGCAGTTCTGTTCTTATTTGAGATAGTTTGCAATATTGAGGAGGTAGCTAGTAATTAGAGAAAAGTCTGTGATTCTGTGATTCATATCTGACCATAGAATTGTATGCTGGAAGAGACTTAGAAGATCGAGTCCAGCCTATGTCCCAGCCCTGTCAACCTACTAAATGGTTCCCCCCAACACAACATCCACCCGTCTCTTACACACCTCCAGGGACAGTGACTCAACCACCTCCCTGGGCAGCCTGTTCCAATGGCTGACAACCCCTTCACTATAGAAATATAACCCTTTCAGTGAGAAATATTTTAAGAGGTAGACAGCATATATTATGACTAAACTTACGGGTATCTCTGTTAATATGACTCGTCTATGTGCCTTCATTAGAGAAGCCAAAGATTTTTTATTTGTTGCAAAACTAGAGGAGTTAGAGAAACAGGAGGCACCTTTCAGAATATTCATGGGATCTTTCTATTTTTGTAACTTTTCCCAGCCTGGAGAGGAAGAACACAGGTTCACTTTGCTATTGATATTACTGCAGATCCACTTCTAAAAGTTAGTAAAGACACATGTCCACTTTCCATAGTACCACTCAGATTTTTTTCCTATGTTAGCAGTAAAATTGCCAAGTGCAACATGGATAGTTATTTTTACAGTGGAAATTGGATAGACTGCTCTGTAAGTTTACTCCTGTTACTCAAATACTACACGTTGATTTGTGCTTAATTAACGGCAATCAATATTTCTTAAAAAAATAAAAATTAAGCTTAACCAAAGCCATGGCTTAAACCACAATTCTACCTGACTGTTGATAAGCAGTTCTACGGCAGCAATGTAAAATTCCCGTTTGTTTCACACACTCTTAGATTCACTTAACTACAAAACTGATAAAATTGGGAGTTATTGGCAAAATGGAAGTTGAATGTAATATGAAGATATTACTGAGGTTTAAAAATATGTTTGAGCAGTTTCTTTAATTGCTGTGTTTTGCTGGCTTTGTACTAATAGCTGAATTCTACAGTAAGCATCAAAAGAAACAGCTGCAGATTAGGACTATCAGACAGGTCAATTTTTCCTTGGTTTGTCAATATATCTCATCAGGTAATTTCTGATGATTGCTGTTGATGTGCTTTCTGTAGCTGATTACTCAAGATGATTCTCTGAGTCTCAAAAGCGTGTGTTTTTTAAAAGTGAACATGTATGAAGCATAGGTCAAAGCTATTTTTAGGACATTGCTGCTTTACTTAATAGTGATCACACCTGAGAAGTCACGTAGAACTTTATGTTGCAATGCATGATACAACAGAAATGCACTAAATAATGCTTAAATTCTTAAAAGGTGAAAAATAAGAACATATGACATTAATTGTTGGAAATATAAAGTCTTATAAATACATTTCTTGGCAACCATGTAACACTTTGTTTTTCAGAAGTGGTTGTCACTTCTGCATATAGAAAATCTGGTTGACCTTACTTCACTTTATATTTCTCCCCTGTTGTGGGGTTTCAGTGTGTGTTTGAACATTCCCTAAAATGACTTTAAATTAGCTGGTTTTGTTTTTCGGAAAACCTTTTTTAGTAGAAATATTGCAGTATCATTTGGTTAAGTAATCTTTTTAAAATAAACTCTGTGCTAAATTAAAATACTTGGGCCAGGAGGATAAACTCCAGAAGCATTTAAATTTTACATTTATAGTAATCGTCCCTTATTTCTAATTGCTGATGATAAAATGGTATGGGCTTACACTTAGACTGCAGTATCTTCTAGCTTTAAATATTTTGGGTATGCTTGGTACACATTTCAAATGTAGCGAGTTGAGAAGGAATAGAGCTAGAGAGTGTAAGTAGTGCTTCTGATACCCAGGTATTTTTAGTACTTATTACTGTCAAAGCATTTGCCTCATTTGAATAAAATTTAGCTGCATTAGGGTGTAAATCATCTTCTTTGGTGCTTAGGGAGCTTGGAACACAAGTATTTAATTAAAAATCAACAGAGAAAAATTATTTCTTTCAATATCTAGCTTTCTGTTCACAGTTTCTAACTGAATGAAATTTAAATACCACATATTAAGTTAAATGGTATGTGTATCACTTTAGCATGTCATGGTCAGGTACAGAGATGAGGATAAAACTGAAGGCAAAGCCAATACATTTTGAAGCAACTGTTTTTAGTTTTGTAGATGTCTGCTGTTTAAAAAATGCAAAGGAGTTCCTGAACGCTCTTTTCTGTTATTAGTTTAGCAAATTTATTTCATTTTCCAGGGAATGAAGTGATAGCTTGGAAAGAATAAGTTCAAATAATTAAGCTGCTTAAAATATTAGTAACTTTTGGGGCATTATAGACTGAGTCTTGAGTGATGAAAATGCATGAGCTGAAGCATTAGCATGTTTGAATATTTTATTTGTGCATAGCAAATATATATTAACAAGAATACTATACACTGTTGTTATTGCAGGGAATGGCTTCTGGAGAGAGGCTTATGTATTAATGTGCAGTATCTCTTGCACTCTTTTTTTACCATGCACTTATGGAATAGATTTATTTGCTTGACTTCAAAAATAATATACTCATTTTATCATTTAAACAGGCCATCACGCCACAAAGACTCTTCAACCTCTTTGGTAAGATATGTTAATTGCATCTTGAGAAACTACAGGGCTAACATTCTTTTTATTTATCTGACACATGCTGTTTAATGCAAGCTCCATTGTTCCATCGTTGTCCAGAAAATGCAAAAGAGAATGTCCTGGTTTTCAAAGGTCAATAATTTGAATCAGTAGTTGCAAGCGACAGCTCCCCAAAAAGGCAAAATAGTTACAGTGTTGGAATTTCACTGTGTAGTCCAATTTGTTTATGGCAAATAATGAGAAAGCAAAGTAGGATGAAAAAATAGACTGCATCAGAAGAAATGAAATACCGAATTGGCATGTGTGTTAGTTGCAGAGGACAATGTTGTCAGAGTAATATTTTAATATGCCTCTGTTATGTGGACTTTAACACCATTGCACTAGTAGCAGAACTTAAACATGCAGTTTTATGACTAAGATTCTGGACTTTTTCCCACATTTCTGAAACAATACAAAAACTTTAAACCTTTCCCTCATACTAATATTCTAGCCAACCTGTTTAATAAGGTGGTTGTTCTTTGTAACACTGACATTAGTCAAAAGAAACAGACTTGCCCTTTTACTGTTTGTAGTAATGCTCTGGACAAATTTTCTTTCTGGATTTCTGCAGGTATGTATGGCGATGTGCATCGTGTAAAGATCATGTTTAGGAAGAAAGGAACTGCTTTGGTTCAGATGGCAGATGCAACCCAGGCTCGCTTAGGTACTTATTTTTAAGGCACAGTTATGCTTCAAACTAGCAGGAGTGTGATATGGATGAAGAATATGCCATCTGTCAGTGACAAGCATAAACAAATTAAATCCATCATTGTGATGCCTTAGTACATACCAACTTTTGCTTGTGTATGTTGATAATGATCTGTCTTCTTTTAAGTAAAAAAATTTATTTTCCTATAGTGGTTTTAAAAAAAGAATCCTGTAAATCACAGTCTGGTTTGGAAGTAAAACATCACACAGTTTTCCTGTAGTTTATCTTAACAATACTCTATACAAATTTGTATACAAATTGCATATAAATGGCAGTCAGGTGAGGTCCATGGGGACTGGACAAAGGGAAACATTACACCCATCTTGAAAAAGGGTAGAAAGGAGGACCTCAGGAACTGCCAACCTGTCAGCCTCACCCCTGTGTCTGGGAAGATCATGGAACAGATCCTCCTAGAGGCTCTGCTAAGGCCTGTGAAGGACAGGGAGGTGATTCAAGACAGCCAGCATGGCTTCACCAAGGGCAACTCCTGCCTGACCAACCTTGTGGCCTTCAGCAGTGGAGTGACTATGTCAGTGCACAACGGAGAAACGGATGTCATCTATCTGGACTTCTGCAAGGCCTTTCATATGCCCCCCCCCCCCACCATCCTTCTACATCCTAAGTTGGAGACATACAGATTTGATGGGTGGACTGTTCAGTGGATAAGGCATTGGATGGGTGGTTGCATCCAGAGAGTGGGGGTCAATGGCTCAATGTCCAAATGGAGATGGGTCACAAGTGGTTGCCCTCAGGGGCCCATGCTGGAATCAGTGCTGCTTACTATTTTTATCCATGCTATAGCCAGTGGTGTTGAGTGCACCCTCAAGAATTTTGCAGATGACACCAAGCTGAGTGCTGTGGTTGATATTCCAGAGGGATAGGATGCCTTCCAGAGAGACCTGGACAAGCTGAAAAAGTGGGCCCATGCGAACCTGATGAGGTTCAACAAGGCCAAGTGCAAGGTCCTGCACCTGGGTCAGAGCAATCCTCATTATCAATCCCAGCTGGGGGATGATGTGCTAGAGAGCAGCCCTGCAGAGAGGGACTTGGGGGTGTTGGTGGACAAAAAGCTGGATATAAGCTAGCAATGTGCACTCATAGCCCAGAAAGCCAGCTCTATCTTGGACTGCCTCAAAAGAGGTGTGGCCAGCAGGTCAAGGGAGGTGATTCTGCCCTCTGCTGTGCTCTGATGAGACCTCACCTGCAGTACTGTCTTCAGCAGTGGAGTGCTCAGCATAGGAAAGACATGGATGTGTTGGCTTGAGCCCAGAGGAGCACTGTGAAGATAAGAGGACAGGAATGCTTCTGTGAAGAAAGGCTGAGAGTGTTGGGATTTTTGCTCAGCTTGGAGAAAAGAAAGGGAGACCTTATAGCCACCTTCCAGAACCTGACAGGGACTGCAGGAAAGCTGGGCAGGGACTGTTCACAAGGACGTGTAATGACAGGATGAGGGGCAATGATTTTAAACACAGGGGTAGATTTAGATTAGGTATCAGGAAGAAGTTTGTTACTATGAGGATGGTGAGACAGTGGCACAGGTTGCCTAGAGAGGTGGTGAAGGCTCCATCCCTGGAGACATTCAAGGTCAGGCTTGATGGGGCTCTGAGCAACTTGATCTAGTTAAAGACATCCCTTCTTGCTGCAGGAGGGTTGGACTAGATCACCTTTGGAGGTCCCTTCCAACTCAACACATTCTATGATTCTATGAAATTTCCTGTAGTTTATCCTATAGCTAGTTATTGAAGAATAAACACTGCTTGTTATTAAACTGCTGTTTGGCATTTTTGTTTTATTTAAACTGGAGGTTGTAATACATCATTATACTTGTTTTAAATACAGTATTATGACCACTTGGTAGACATGGCAGTTGTAGTTTAAATTTAGAAAGTGAAATCTGACAGGAAATTGAGACAGTATTAGTATACAAAGAATCTTTTTTTTCTTCCCCTCGCCTCATTCCTGTTCAAATTATGTTTTCACTTGCTAGCTGTGAGCTACCTGAATCGACAGAGGGTTTATGGAAGAGTTCTCCGTGCTGCTATTTCAAAATACCAGGTGGTTCAACTTCCTCGTGAAGGGCAAGAGGATTCAAATCTGACAAAGGACTATACCAACAGCACTTTACATCGCTTTAAGAAGCTGGGCACTAGGAACATCAAAAATATCTTTCCTCCGTCTGCTGTTCTGCAACTGTCCAACATCCCGTGAGTATCTGCATGTGCGACCTTCCTGGAAAGATGTTTTTAGATTATGTTCCTAAACATAACTTAAATTTCCTTGGCCTTTTGTGGTTTACTGAGCATTTGTGTCATTCTGCTGTGTAATTAACAATTAGTGAATCCTTCAACTATCACTTCTTTATTGTTAGCAAAGATGACTACAGATTGAATGGTCTTCTTTACAAGTTTTAATATGGCTCACATTTTCTTGAGAATATGCTTTTGTTTTTCACATAGTAAGTCCTGTGTTACGAATTTTTGCAAAGATTAAAGAAGGGGGGTACTAGAGTTCCATTACATGAGATTCATCACTAGCATTGTTATTTAATGTAGATACACTATTTAATCATTCTAATTTTTTAAAGAGTAGTTTCTACAGAATTCAGACGTCTTATAAAGAGAGGAGGCTGGATTTTTCCTAAAAAAAAAGTATTAATAAGTGTGTTCTTTAAAACTGAAACAAACTTTCCTGTTTAGAATGTTGTCAACAACATATGGAGTAACAGCCAAACATAAGTTTTTACAGGCTTTTGTTTGGCAGCTATGCAGGGAAAGCAATGGAATTTTGTCCAAACAAGAAAAAAAAGACATTTGGAAAATGGCTTTCCAAGTAAAATAGAAAACTTTCAGAATTGAAAACATGTGAAGCAACTCCCAGTAATTACAAGATGAAAGGTATCTTGCCTGCCCATGACAGGGAGGTTGGATTAAATGATCTCTAAGGTCCCTTCCAGTTTAGGCCATTCTATGATTCTGTGCTTCTAAAGGTATCGGTTAAGATCTTAAGTGATTTTTGTGCAATCTGAATTTAACTCAGTGAGGAGTGGGGGAGGATGAAAAGGAGCAGAGTGTATCTGAAATGTTTTTGTAGCACAGTGAGGTGCTAAATCTTAGTGTCAAAAGCCAAGATGTTTGGGCTAAAGTGTTGATGTGGCTTGAGTTGGTGGACATGGTTTTTGCTGTTCAGATTTAATTTAGAAACCAGAATTGAGATTTTTACAGTATTAGAGAACTCTTACACAAGTTGAAGGGTTTTGTTTTGGTCTTGTATGTTTGTGTTTTTTTTCTAAATAGGCCTTCTGTTACTGTTGATCATCTGAAGAACCTTTTAACAAATATGAAACTAACTGTGAAAGCTTTCCGATTTTTCCCGTAAGTTCTCCTGCAAAAATGCTGAGCAAGCTTCATCCTGGAAGATGGCTATACATGTGCATATCTCTTTAGGCAAAAGCTGTACAGCTATAACAATTTTTATGATAATTCTAATTAAAAATTTTAGATCGGATATTCAGCCTTTTGATAATTTTCACATGTGTTCAAAGTAAGATACATTTAAGGACAGTAAATACGCTCTTCTTTAGAAAAGAGTATTTAGAAGATTCTTTAGAAAGAAATACAAGCTGTGTGTATATATAGAGAGAGGTAAAAGATGACAGTGAATCTGCTCTAACATTCATTAATGTTGCTTGGCAGCAATATATTAGAATGATCATACCTGCTAGAATAATCCCACGTAGATGGACAATACAAGTGTTTCTAAGAGGTCTTCAAGCTGTATTTTGACCCTGTTTTTTGAAGTGCAGTGTAATCAAAGAATGGCATGGCTGTAAGCCATTGATCTGCAACATTTGTACAGTTTATCTCCTCATTTTAGCAGGTAGATAACTAGTTCAGACTATTTTGCTGTACAAGTTTAGTGTGTGTGATGTGGCTGAAAAAATACTTCTGTCGTTTTCTGTTGGCTAGTGCAATGAAAATTTTGTTAGGCTTAATAATGGTTTTTATTGTACTGCAGGAATGATTCCACAATGATTCTTACCCAGCTGGGCTCTGTGGAAGAAGGAGTTCACGCCCTTATTGAGCTTCACAATTATGACCTTGGAGAAAACCATCACCTCCGAGTTTCCTTCTCAAAGCCTATAATCTGACTTTTCTGTGAACTCTCCTTTAAGATTGCATCACAGGTTTAGTAAAATCTTCAAATAGAGACTGAAACAGCTATGACCAGTTCTGTACTTTAAAAGAAAAAGCTTATTCATACACAAATAATTTAAGTGATAATATTTTCTGATTTTACCTGCCAATTAGTGATCAAAGTTTAATATTCACCCATAGAAACATTCTTCCATGAAATTGCTGTAGCAACAATATCATCAAATTTTCTACTTAAAATTGTATTACGAGAACATCTTTTTACCTTTTGTTTGAAATCAGCCTTACAATACATTTTAGAGTGCTTTTACAATATTCCAAACAAAAAGTATTTCTAAGAAAATGGTAAATATACTCGGTACAGATTAAACACTAATTTGAGTGTGATACGGTGCTTGGGTTTTTTGAAGAAGAGGGAGCGTTGACTCCAAGTGTCTACTATTTAGGTTACCAAGGTGTGCGTTTATACTTTGGCAATGCTTTACAACCATTTATTTTAAAACCAAAAACTCTATGCTGTTCATACAAGTTAACTTATTAGGGAAAAGGAAATGCCTTCTTTCTGTAGAATAAAAGATATTTGACAAGTTTCTTCAAGATGCGGTACCAGAGACTTTACTTGACTTAACCGTGGACAAGAACATAGTCCTAATTTCAGAGAATTTTTTTAAATTTTGAAAGAATAAAATGCTTGCCATCTCATGGAAAATATTCAGGTCTGTTAGTTATTTTTGTTAAGGCCATCTTCAGGGGCAGAAAAATTAAACCTCAAGAGTCTTTTGTACCACTACTTTCTAATACTTATATTACTATATATTAATTTCTTATTATGTGCCTTACTATGTGCTTGTGATGCAATAGCTTAGAACTTTGTATGAAGTATCTTGAAAAATACATTGTGTCTCTTTGGAAACTTTCCTCTTGGTCTTTTTGAACATTTTTTTTTCCTTGATACTTCAAAATACATTCTTTTCATTAATCAATACTCTGAAATCTGGCTTCTTATGCTTTGGTATTAAGATTGGATAGAGGTGGGAATGAGGTTTTAACTCAGTGTATAATTGTGTAGGCATTCTTTGAATTCACCTGGTTGCAGTTCTCTGATTACCAGTACTTGGCTGAAAAAAAAAAATCCATACACAGAAAAATGCACTTAATCGTGCCTTCCCCAACCCCCCCCCCCCCCAAACTGGAGTAAATTTGCTGTTTGTAGAATTAATGTAATTTTTTGAGACATTGGCTCCATCAGAATACTCTCTTTTGAGTTCCTGCATTCTTCTCTGAGTATTAGCCTTCAAGTAGTAAAGAGCTATCATTCTTTTCTTTTTAAGTATGAAAAAATGTTTAATACTAAATGTCTATTTCTCCTTGGAGAATGAACTGAGATGCAGTTAGTTTTGACGTTGAAAGTACGTATGAATTTCAGTAACTTCTGATTGTGTTTTAAAAGTTAATTTTAAGAGATTTTTCTCTCTAGTATTTACTTAATAGATAGCTTTTAGTTACGTATCAAACAGCATTTATTTACTTCTAACTACTGAAGAATTTGTTTCTGCTGTAATGTTTTGTCACTCATCCATTTTGGCTGGAGCACCACATTTAAAAAATAACACATTTATGATTTTTAGCAATGATGAGTTGACAAGTGGATTGAGAGCAGTCCTGTGGAGAAGCATGTGGGGGTGTTGGTGGAAGAAAAACTGAATAGGAGCCCCCAGTGTGTGCTCACAGCCCTGAAAGCCAGTTGCATCCTGGGCTGCAGAGCAGAAGTGTGGCCAGCAGGTCGAGGGAGGAAATTTCGCACCTCCACTCTGCTCTGATGAGACCGCCAACTGCAGCACTGCATTCAGCTCTGGGGCCTCAGATATATGAAGGGCATGGACCTATTGAAGTGAGTCCAGAGAGGAGGATCATGAAGATGATCAGAGGGTTGGAACACCTCCCCCGTGAGGACAGGCTGAGAGAGTTGGGGTTATTCAGCCTGGAGAAGCAAAGGCTCGGTGGAGACCTTACAGCAGCCTTCCAACACCTGAAGAGGGCCTACAGGAAAGATGGGAAGGGGCTCTTGGTCAGGGAGTGTAGTGATAGGACAAGGGGTAACAGTTTGAAACTGAAAGAGGGTAGATTTAAACTAAACAGTAGGAAGAATTTCTTTACTGAAAGGGTGGTAAGACACTGGAACAGGTTGCCTAGAGAAGTGGTGGAAGCCCCTGCCCTTTTCACAGAATCACAGAATGTGAGGGGTTGGAAGGGACCTCAAAAGATCATCTAGTCCAGCCTCCCTGCCAGAGCAGGATCACCCAGAGTTGATCACATAGGAACACGTCCAGGCAGGTTTTGAATGTCTCCAGAGAAGGAGACTCTACAACCTCCCTGGGCAGCCTGTGCCAGGGCTCTGTCACCCTCACAGGGAAATAGGAGGTTCCACAAAAATATTAGAAAAAACTATGTTCCAGCTTGTACCCATTACCCCTTGTCCTGTATTTGGATGCCGCTGAAAAGAGCCTGGCTCCGTCCTCCTGACACTCACCCTTGATGTATTTATAAACATTTATGAAGTCACCCCTCAGCCTCCTCTTCTCCAAGCTAGAGAGAACCAGCTCCTTCAGCTTTTCCTGATAAGGGAGATGTTCCGCTCCCTTCATTATCATCTCTGTGGCTCTGCGCTGGACTCTCTCAAGCAGTTCTCTGTCTCTCTTGAGCTGAGGGGCCCAGAACTGGACACAAAATGCTGAAGGCCAAGCTGGATGGGGCTTTGAGCAACCCAGTCTAGTGGGAGGTGCTCCCACCCATGGTGGGGGGTTTGGAACTCAATGATCTTTGAGGGCACTTCCTGCTCTTATACCCTTCCCTTCCCCCTATCATGGAATCATAGACCATTTTTGGCTGGAAGAATCCTTCAAAATCATTGAGTCCAACCTTTGTCCTAGCCCTATCAACACCACTAAACCATGTCCCTCAGCACAACATCCACCCGTCTCTTAAACACCTCCAGGGATG